ACATTGCTATATGTAGGTCACATTGTTCGCGCAAACAATTATATTTTCTATTTGAGTTTATTGTCTCTTTCTGATGATGAATGGTATATTAAAACAAAGAAGGTGAATTCTATAGCGTCCCAAACTTTGTCAATTTTAGTAAGCCTAACATTGTAATGCATGTTTAAATAACAGTGGTGTATGTACATATGTTTCAAATAAAAGGGAGCAGCGACTTTTAACTATTGTTCATACGAGTCACTGACACTTAATAGGAGGAAGAGTTTAAGTTACAGATGTAAATATTAACATATAAAGGGTAGTCAGAAGATGAACTATGTATATACCTAGGCATATTTGAAATATTAAAGTAAATATAATAGAAATAAACTTATGTCTGACGGCACACCGGCAAAAGAGAGTTCATGTTCATTTGACACAATTAATTATATTATATCAAGATTATAGATGTCAAAAGTCTAATGCTCTTGCGGATTCATGGCATCAAATCAAATTACAATTGCGATGTATTTATAACTCTCTAAGTATAACCTGAAGCTGGTCAGTTATACATTATAATAAAGTACTTAACACAAACTTAACAAAATATTACACGTAACTAGAAAATATATCATAACATACAATAGCGCCTTGTAACGGAAAAAGCAGAATACTTAAATAAAAAAGTACAACTCTTTATATTATAGAAATATAACAAGTAGATCTAAACGACAAAAGAAAATCAAATAGACAATGCGTACGTAACATTAAATCTTCTGTAATGTAGAATACATGCATCTCCAAAAAGGGTTATTAAAAATTAACAGAGGTTTCAATATGTTTAATATAACAATATAACATTAATGTTTTTTATAGCAAACAATGAGACATTACAAATCTGTCATTAATTTTGGTATATTTTGTAATACACCTACAATTTAAACATTTACAGACAAAGAACATTCGCAATTTAGCCAGACAAAAAATTACTTTCGCTTTTTGCTAGGTGACTCAGATTCTATGCAAATAGCACATTAACGTAGAAGGTAGGCATTTATATAATTTGCTAATATGAGATATACTGCATACATACTCTGTTAACAAATTACATCTTATTATATTAGTATGGACACAAAGTACGAAACGCTGAACGTAAATTATTATATTTGGTGATATTATGATTACTGTGCAGGAAACCTATATGCATGTATAATTTTAGTTTTATTACAATGATTTCCTGAGCATCATCATAATGCTCTCAGAAACAGTTGACAAACTCATAGTGTTGTTTCAATGACGTTATAGTCATGTCATAGCTGTTTATAGATTCAAATGAACAAAAATGAATTCTGAGTATGCTCATTTAAAAAAGAAATCTGCATGAAACTTATGTGTAGTAATTGCGTAACATACACAAAGGCATTATGTAGGAGGAATATATAGAAGCTCTACAGTTTTTTTTAAGGACACTTTGCAGTTGGCCGCTGATAGCCTTGACTGGGCCACTGAATAAAAGGGCGAGCTGAAGGGTTTTAACCCATTAAAAATAAATTAAACTTAAAACTAAGTAGCGCCTCTAAGGGCGCCCAAGTCGGCACGGACCTCGGCTCAAGGCGCTACTGGGGACTTCCGCCACTATTACTTTTCATACAATATTGGGAAGCGCAGTCACAGCGGCATTGTCGTGATACGCGCGCGCCACTTGCAGTAACAATTAATGAAGTAAAACGTAACGCACGGCTGCCGCGCCACAATTGGCCCAGTGCAGCGCTCCTATAAGTGTCTAGTTTGAAGACGCCCAAATATACATACATTTGTTTGAATGGCACGCTGAAATATTATAAGTTATACTTAAAAGCTTGGTTTACATTGCATGTCATATCATAATTTGATTGTAACAATGGAATTACCGCGCATGTTGTGACCCAATGCCACTTATGACAACCTACATATGCACACAAGAGTCATGGTCACAATTACTATAAAAGGAACAGCAACAGAGGACCATTTTGTTCTAATCAAAATTATTCTTACATGGCTGTTATAATAATAATAATACACGGCTAGCAGTAGTTAACACGAAACAACAGTAACCTTAAATAATTGTAAACGCACTATAGTGAACTAAAATTAATGTGATTCACAAATACCTACTTTTAGTGAAGATGCAACTAAACTTATTAATAAACTGGCAGCAGCATTGTGTAAACCATTCCAACTATATGGCACAATATTTGCATATCAACAGCTTAGTCCCAATCTGATGTCATGTTGGTATATTATATACATTTAGAAAAAAATAATATATTTATAAAAGATCGACGTAAAATGATTTTTGATGAATGCTTGATACATACATAAATATTTATCATCATGCTTGTTTCCCACCGGGGTATGCAGAGACTTTGGACCTCCATCTGCTAAGCTCCTAAAGCATCAATAAACAACTTTGGTAATTTCTAATAGGTGATTTGCATTATGTCATTGATTGAAATGATGTTGTATAGCCTTTGCGGATGTTCTGCCTTAACATGTATTGGTTAGGAACACATTAACAAACACACTCAACCCAAACTGACAATTAAATTACAATTGCATAACTGAACACTGAAGAACAATGGATAAGACACAAATGAACAGACACCAGTATCACAGGATTGCTTGACAAATAGTAATTGTGAATACTAAAGTCAGAGTGTTGATGACATCTAAAACACAACACAACAACAAACTGAACACAAGAGGACCCAACATACAGAAATCCTTTACAAGAACACTTTGTTAAGAAGAAACTGCTGCTGGAGCCAGCTGTTATACACAGCCAGAATCCCCAAACAATACATTTTCAACAAGAATTCAATTTTTTTTTCAATACAATTGTATACAATTTGTACGCAACACAATTGTATTCAGAAAATACAATTGTTTGAAGATCCCAATGAAGGAGTAAACGCCAAAGAGTTCGCATTTTCACTACAGGTCCAAAACAAATTCAGGAACAGGCATTGGGGTATTTTCAGAAGACATTAATATCAGGATTTCAACACTGCTTGGTGATCATAACACAGTATTATACATTGAATGTATGGGTATTAAGTTGACAGCAGAAGGAATCATAGCTAGATGACAGAATTACTCCATTCGGAAACACTCTGACAGTATGTCAGTAGTTCAAGCACTGGGCAGCTATGACATAAATTCAGGGCTTATCCATAAATGCCACCATGCACTCTTGGAGGTGTGAATACACAACAATGTAAACACAACAATGTAACTCTACAGTGGATCAAAGGACACAGTAGCTCACGTGGCAAAAATGCAGCAGATTAACATGCCGGAAAAAGGGTCAGAGATGGACACTGTAGGACCAGAACATATAGCATCTCTCCCCTAACAATGATCAAGAGCAACAAAAAGCTTTACATAACAACAGTTTATGGTTTTAGACAGGCTAGGGAAGCACATCACATGCTCAACACCCGTCTATCTCCTTCATTTCTTAAAGTCAAACAGAAAGAGCTGCACTCTGTAAATGTAACTACAACTTTAAGGGGTCATGGTCCATATAATAAACACTATTGTAATTTAGGTGTCACAGACAGCCCTATGCAGGGCATGCATGGATGGGGAGGAAATGGCTGTGCACATCTTACTGCAATGCCCAGCTATAAGGTGCAGTACCTTTTAGTGCCAAGGTCGCTCCCTGAAGTCTTCAACAAACCTAGGAGGGTACTGAAATTGTTGGAGGAGCTAGGGTGGCATGTGTAGGACACTGCACTCACCACACGCAAAATAGGCACCTAGACAATGGTTGCGTATGCCAGCTTATTACACCATATCTAATTAAACATATGTTGTACAGGATGACATAAGTCATTTCATAAGTTGGATGAGGCATATTTCAAGTAACCCGTAACTCAACAATATGACTAGACTTTTCAAAAGGAAATCCCAAATCAGACAGTCTCCCAGTATGTGTTTGTGTTGTAACTAAACCTTATTATACAAGTAAATTGCTGCACATTTGTAAAATATAGAATAAAAAAACACAATCCAATTCCAATCCGAATCCAATTCTTAAAAAGATGAGGTGGGAAAGTGTTGGCAAACATGGTACTTAAATGCAATATTATAGGTGAGAGACAATTAAATGATACACAACAGATATGTAATGCGAATGTCAATAAAAGGTCTCATTTCCTACAACTTTCCAAGAGCACTCTAATATTTACAGATTCTAGCACTAAAAAGTTCCTTAAAATGCAACTTTTTCACAAGCAACAAGCCTAAAATATATCTAAAACAGGAATTAAAAGTTATTTGCTGAAGAGCATTTCACATCTCTACAGTGGAAAAGACAGTAAACAAATTGACTTCTACCCTTGGCACAAACATAGAAAATAGATAATGTACTTAATGAAGTAAGTTAAGTTGCAGTGCCCTCACACGGCTTATACTGGATCTTGTATAAGCTTTGAGATCCTTTCTGTACCACATAGCACAATAAACAATATGATTGTTACTATAGCTCCTGACAGAAGTTTGATCATACCTTTTGCCAAAAGTGTTGTCTGATGGATGATTAGGCCTGTAGTAGTCTGTCTTACCCAGTATTGTCTTGAGAAATCGGTTATATGTGTAATTTTAGACCTTGAATCATTTATTTAAGTAGGTGCCATATCATGTATACTATACCTTCAACATATTTCTGTTTGAATAATTGGATTTCTCACAAAATGTTTATGGCTAGGGTGTCCTAGTATAGATCTGCTAAGTTCAAATAAACAACCCATTATTTTTAAATATTATAATAATACTTTTACTACCTGGGTAGATGTAGATCCGATATATATTATTAGCCTCAAAAAATTGTTGCCTTACCTTACCTGGCGTAGATTTGAAATACAAGAATGTAATAATGATACTGTTACTTTCGCAAAATAGTACAAAGATGGAACAACTGTATTGATTTGAAGTCACAAGTTTTCAGAGAGCAACATTTATTTAACAAATGTACTTACATTGCACGGTTATGAACACACTGCGAAATAGTGCCTGCAACAGGCTTATATGAATTTGTTAAATGAAAACTTCATTACACAAACGAAAATAAATAACGGAACCGCCCAGCTGGCAAAATTTTACTTCGCAGATTAAAAATTGTTATTTCACCATAAAGAATATAGAGCAGTGACATTCACGTTCGGATAGCGGAATGTTGAAAATGAAATGTATTTATTTTTAGCGCTTGATATATCCGTCATAGATATATTTGTATTTAGAGTTGATAGCCATAGGGTCGTATTCCAGAACGCTACTCAATGCTCAAGTCAGGCTTTGAGTAGACTTGAGTATGATTTCAAGCACTGGAAATACGACACTAATGGCAAGGACTTGAGTATGATTTTCAGTGCTTTAAATCATACTCAAATCCTAACTTGAGCATTGAGTAGAGTTCTGGAATACGACTCTATAATAATAATAAAGAATAAGGGTAGTATTCCAGAACTACTCAATGCTCAAGTCAGGACTTGAGTATGATTTAAAAGCACTGAAAATCATACTCAAGTCCTTGCCATTAGGGTCGTATTTCCAGTGCTTGAAATCATACTCAAGTCTGCTCAAGTCCTGACTTGAGCATTGAGTATAATATAAAGCACTAAAAATCATACTCGAGTCCTTGCCAATAGGGTCGTATTTTCAGTGATTAAAATCATAGTCAAGTCTACTCAAGTTCTGACTTGAGCATTGAGTATAATTCTGGGATACGACCCACTGTTTTCTGTAATTATATTTTATCTTCTGTTATCAGTTTTATTTTAATGCCAGAGCTTGATACGCTTTCTGTGTATCCGAATATTGTGCTAGAGACAATGTTTTATTCTTATTACGTTGTTTGGCACTGCGCTGGAAAATAATCTGCTATTTGCTAAGTTCTCCCTTATAATTATTTGACGATGTAGACTAAACATTAAATGGAGATTAATGTTGTTATATTAAAATATATTTTGAGTAAGCTTCATATTATATTCATTAAAAAAAAATCTCACCATTCAAGTGATTCTTCGTAATACGAAGCGTAAGTAATAATGCAAATGGCGGGAAATTGGAATAGAAGTGGGATTAACGGAAGTTAAGTTTTCTGAAATTTAACTCGGTGTGATTTCTCAAATTTAACGACTTGGTGGTAGCAAGTGTCTACGGTTTAATAATAGTTTTTCGGGTTTATTTCATGCTCTTATCACTGATGTGTTTTTATATACACTGTTTGTTCGTGAACGTTATTGTGTATGATCTCCACAACAGCATTCCGTCGAAGAGATTCCTCTAAAAATAAATACCTTGCTGCTACCGAAACGTTGACGTTATTGACCAATATTGACTTACAATATTAATCGAAACTGACACTGGCCCAAGCCTAGTGGCCGCTATTAAGAAAATAGAATAGAAATTTAACTCTGAAATCGGCGAGTTTATAAATCACAAATTTTTATTAAGTTCGATTTGACGACTAGTTTTCATTTGTTTTAAATAGATAGCTTCGCTTTTCGATAGTACAAAAAAAAATTAGAGTTATGACCTTTTTTCTTAAAAAAGGACTGTAAACCGCTCTCCTGTAATATTTTCCAAATGCACGTTACGCGTTTTACATTTTGAGTGTCGATATATAAATTGACAAAAATATAGTAGTCGGTGGGAGTCGAGTTAGGTGAGTAGGAAGAGTGGCGCGTGGCTTCAATCTGCAATTCCTGTAATGTGGAGATGATTTTTTCGACAGTCTGAGCTCTCGTGTTATCAAGTAGAGTATTAGTTGATTAGCTATGGTTGTTTCTGTATATAATTTTTTTATTACGCGGTTGGCCGTCAATAATTTTCTGTGGATACGATGTTTCTGACTATACATGTCTGATTGAGAGACGTGTACACTGTCATGGCTTATTTTTAGGCAGGCAGCCCCTGTGTTGATAGTATATGTACAATATAAAATTCATTTACCACGTGTCGATTCAAGCTTCAAAGAACTTAGTCAGTTCGGAGAATGCACCTTTAAAAGTACCGCTATAGTCAAATTGCAAATCTCCGGACCACCTTTACTGATAAAGAAAGGAGTAAAGCAGGGCGATCTACTATCTCCTAAACTATTCACCGCCACCTTGGAAAAGGTCTTTAATCAATGGGATGGTAGCTGGAAGGAGAAGGGAATTGTAGTCGGAGATAAAAGGCTAACCAATTTCCACTTCGCCGACTACATGGTGGTATTATTCCAGTTCCCAATATGTAACTTAAGCGGCTGGAGGGACCGGAGGCTATATTTAGCTTATTCTGTAGTAGCTCTCCGGACTAGTGCTGATGATGGTGGTGATGCCACTCGCAGTGTCCTGTGACAATGTCCGGACATAGCCAACTTAAAGGGCAACTCACGTCCCCGCGCGTCTCCTCGTTTCATGCTCTCAACTAGACCGCTACTAAAACGCACTAGCTGCGCACGAGACAGACACCCCGGACCCATGCTACCGGGGCTAACAAACATGTCCGTCTCTGCAGCTCACCACAAACTCCAGCGAGTCCATACCCAAGACCGGGTCTACTAGAGATGGTCGTGAAGGCGTATTACTGGCGGAGGGCTGGCCCGGATGCTCGCTGTAGCATGGACTTATCGAGCCGTAGTTTCTCCGGAATACCCTATTTCTCCGGTAGAGAGGGACACTTTTGGTCAATGAAAAACCTGATGAAGGTAAAATTACCAATATCTGTCAAAAGAAAACTCAGGGAATGGAAAAAACAAACAAAAGGAAGGGAAGCTTTTGCCCTATTGTGGGATAGTTACGGCTGAAATATTAAATAAAAAATACTTACTTATAACGTCTATCTATATTCGCACTAGTGTCAGTCTTTTTAAAAACCGTATTATTATTTCTTAAAATCTTAGAAACAGCGATTACTTGATATTCAGAGCTCTCGCTAAACCCTTGATATTCAGAGCGCTCCCAAAACCCCTGTGAACCGTTGTTCGATTTAGAGAAATAATTCATGAAAAGAATGAGCGGTTCTTTGACAACAACTTATAGTATATTGGTATGCGTGTACAACTTAATCGGAAATGTTTATAGAAGTATGATCAAAATATAATTATTTGACATGACATTGAACAGAATTTTTAGAATTTACTAATAAATACGTACATGCAATTAACTGTCGCCATCAGATGAAAATTCCATTGATATTAGTCTATCACATTGAATACGAAGTGCCTTCTTTTACTTAAGATTTGTATATTTACTTTTACTGTGTTTTAAAAAGTAAACGTATTCTAGTTCATGCCACAGACGATTATGGAGTACTACGGGTGATCTGCCGTAGTCCGATATGGTTAAGAATGTATAAAATCTAAAAATCTAAATACAATATAAATAACACAATGCATAAAGCACAAATAAAAATAAATTATCCTGGCATTTCTAGTAAATCATTCATTTGACCATTTTCATCTCAATGTCGACAAAGATTGAAACGCATTAGGATCATCACACCTGGAACAGCAATGATAATGGCATAAATGGTGTGGAATGTTAAGTATTGGCCAGTTAGGCCATCGGCTACAGATTTCCATGCTACGCCATAATAAGGATGTATCTAGTTGGATAAAGCTCAAGTGAAGCCGCAGTTAATTTTCACTTAGGGCTATTAATTTCCGTGAGTTCGCGACAAGTTAAGCCCTCGCTGCCCGATAGTCGCCTACGAGACTTAATCACTTCTAAACTTTAAGTGTAAATTGTTGAGGTTAATCTTAGCCAGGTTGCAGTTAGTAAGATTATTATAATAGACCATAATGAAAATCCTCATGAACAAGCGAAATGAAGGATGTAATCCATATAGATTTCTAAGCATTATTATCCTGAAGCTTTAATTATTTTTCCTGCCTATGATGGCATTTTGAGATATACTTTTTATTTCTTCATTTACCTACTTTATGTCTTACCCTTACATTTTAACTATAAAACGAAGTAATTGCATATAAAGGAACAACGTGCACAATGCTATTTGCTGATTAAAGAAAGAAGATAGGATACCTATTCGAATAGTAATTAAGAATTATGGAGAAGAAAAAGTAATATACTAATGAACACGGTCCCGGAACACCTTTTTGTTAAATGGATTGCTTTCTTTATAAATGTGATTAACTTTTATAACATAGAGAGTTAGTTACCTCTTCGTAGACCTGCCTAGGTTTGGTATATACGTATACTTAAACCATCTAATCCTTAACAAGGCAATTGATTTACTTTATTACATTCATATACTTGTATGTATCAAAATCAGCAGTATTCACATCTTTTGTAAATTACTCTAATAGGTAAAATTGTCAAATATATTGTATATTGTAAAATCTAATTGCTCGGCGAGCTATACAAAACTTCACATTTCTTTTAATCCAAACTAATATTATAAATGCGAAAGTTACTCTGTGTCTATTACGTAATCATACCTAACCCGCTGAACCATATTTGATGAATTTTGGTATAGCGATAGATGGAACCTAGGAGAAGGACATAGGTTTTTGACTTTTTGTCACAAAAATAAATCTTAAAGGGGGCGAAATAGGATATGAAAGTTTGCGTGAAGTACCAATCATTTCGCTAGTAAGTAGTACACTCGAAGTATTTATTCTACGCAGATGAAGTCGCGGTCACCAGCTAGTTAATTATATGAATCGCCATCAAGCGAACACTATGATGTTCTACATACGAGTTCTAACAACAGTCAATTGTAGCCAGTACATAACCAGATTGTAGCACTATATGACTATAGAGCCATACAGTCGTGTGAAAACTTATCGTCCTGAAATTGAATAAAATGCGAAGCTAAACTTTATTTTATATTTTCTACTTTGATGACTTTATTCTACGGCTTACCTGCGCAGTCCACGTTCTGTGTCGGTCATTCCTTTTACGAAGGAATTAAATTGGAGTTTTTAGGGATTGCATCAGGAAATAACGTTATTCGTTTAATATAAAATTGATACAATATTTCACAGTATTGCGACCTGG